GGCGGCTAGCCAATCCCTATTGCAGACGCTCGCTCAGGCACATTTGTGTTTGTTCAACATCCACAGAGACAACCTGTGGTTTATACTGCAGTTTCTGGGGTAGAACGTGTTATCTACCATGAGGAACAATCTGAGCAACGCCAGTATACTCAAACCCTCAGTCACAATGACTTGTGCCTTAGTGCTATTACAGCTATCGACGGTGCCCAAGTGTTCTGTCTACCCAATTTCACTCACAAGGCTTATATATACAAGCTTTATTTATATAAACTGGCAAGGTACTGCCTTTAATGTTTCATTCAGTGTTAAATCTTTTGTTCATATAATTTTCGTTTTTTCTGAACTTATATTATGTAGTAATTGTCCAAATGTTATCAATTTTATTTTTACTTTTAACTGGGTGCATGGATCGTTTTATTTAGAGTTATAGCAGTGCTTTATTTTCCAACACATTGTAGCCGTGTTTATAATTGATACTATTTAGAGTCGGCGTTTCCTTTTTTTTTTTTTTATTAATAATACTTCCATTATTTTAGCCCCACTGTCTTATCAAATGAGCAATGGTGAGAGGAAAAAAATCATCGAGGCGTTCAGTCATGGTACCAACATTCATACTCTAGCTTCCAACTTAAAGTCCATTCAAGAACCATGAAGAGAACGAAGAGAAATTTTAAAAAAAGAGGGAAAAGTAGATAGGAAAACTGGATCAAAAGGTTACAACAGGAAGAGGGATCATCATTTCAACTTAGAGCTAAAGAGATAAATTAGAAAAGATCCAACACAATTCATACGATGTTTGGCACGTGAAAGAGGAGTTTCAGTTATGACAGTCCTCAGAGCAGTGAAAAATGACTTGAAAATGACATCGTGGATGAAAACTGTGAGACATCTTGTTACTCCAGGACAGAAAGTTAGATTAGAGAGGGCGAAGATCATCTTGAATATGTTGGAAAATTATCCTGGAATTATATATATATATATATATATATATATATATATATATATATATATATTTGAATTCAATTTCAATCGTTCATGAGCTTCTGATCCTTAGCTATGATTATTTAATGATGCACATGTCATTTTCGTATATGATCCATTTTATTACGATTTTTTCTGTCAAGCTTGGAGTGTAATTATGGATTCTTATTGCACAAAGTAGATTCCAATAGTGTTATACAATCCTTAGCGAATTCTTGTAAGATATCTTTAATCATTTCTAAGATACAACGTTTAAAAGCTTAATCTAACAATTGACAACATTGATTTTCTAAATTTGGACAATTTTGTTTGACACACACACACACACATATATATATATATATATATATGTGTGTGTGTATGTGTGTGTTAAATTTACATTATGAATCATTCATACAAAGAACAGAAATAAAGTAATGATTTAAATGGCGAGAATACATCTTCGCAAACAATTTCAATAAAATCTAACCTCGAACCTGTATATGAATGATATGATCCCTGTTTATAAATTCCAGTTTCATAAGGTCTTTTTAGTTTTTTACAAGCTTTCATCTGTTCCTACAGACATCCTCAGGTAGGGAAATAGATTTTGTTCTTGTTTTTTACTTCTCGGTAATAAGAGGACAACGAAAATATAGGTGTAACCCGAAAAAAATGCTTTTAGAAATGTGTTATTAATTTTGGAACGCGCGGCGCAACGCTGAGGTTGAATTTTTAAATTTTAAGGTTGTGCGTTTTTGTCCTGTTATTACCGAGAAGGAAAAGCCAAGAACAAATCTATTTCCATACCTGATGATGTCTGTAGGAACAGACGAAAGCTTGTAAAAACTAAAAAAGACCTTATGAAACTGGAATTTATAAACAGGGATCATATCATTCATATATGTTCGGGGTTAATGTACTTTATTAAAATTGTTTGCGAAGATGTATTTCTCGCCATTTAAATCATTAACTTTATTTCTGTTTTTGTATGAATGATATATATATATATATATATATATATATATATATATATATATATATATATATATATATATATAATTATTTATTTAAAATATGATTCCAAACTAAAATACTAAGGGACTTTGGATTATTTACCTAACCAGTTCCTTCCTATTTATATATATTTTCACATATATATATATATATATATATATATATATATATATATATATATATATATATATATATTTTAACAACACTGTGCCAGGTCATTGTGGCCACTCAAGCTAGAGAGTTACAGAGTAAGAGATACAGCTTACGTTGATATGTTTGGCAGAATAACTGTTAACTCAAGATATGAATCGGTTAATATTGTAGTCATCGGGAAGCATCCCCGTAGGAGTAGGTTCCACAAGGTAGGGGTTCATGTGCGGAAGTTGCTCGATTGTAAATTATCTTTTTCAATAAAACGATGAGAAACTTTCTCATTATACCGATGATTTTATCAACGCCTCTTAATTACGGCCGACGGGCCCCAGTGACACCAAATCCGACCGGGGATTTGTAAACAATCTGGAAGTCAAACAAGCACCGTATTGGCTATTGCTTGTGTACTTAGCTGGGCTTCTGTATGCGTAAAAAATAAATGAGTGGCTATTGTTAATGTTTGTCTTTCTATACCAAACTTCGAAGTCTTGCTCTTCAAATTTTCTAAAAAAAAAAAACAGGTGCATATGTGAAAACTTGGCGGCCCATTAGTTGGGATTATTAATCATTGTCAGATGGTGACAGTCTTTTGGAAAGCTAATGCCAAAACAATTGGCCAGTACGGTTTCCACGCATCAGGTTGAGCACACATCCCTGTTCAAAATTCGGCTGTACTGTGGGAAAACGATCCACAAGTAAAAAAAAAAAGGGAGAATATTTTTGTCACTAATTTTGGCTGATTATCATTCATTAGACATCCCCACCTTCTAAACACGGTGTGTTAAAGAATAGTTTTGATTTTTTTTTATTATGATAGAAATGTACTGAGGTCTTATGTATAATATAAATACAGTAGGTACCTCCACAAAAAAACGCGATACCTAAGGATTAAAACTAATTTTAAAAAATGAAAAATCTATCTTGAAGCTTTTATTTTAGTTGTAATTTCAAGCTAAAAGATTAAATTTAATATTTCCAATAAGCAAAATACTTTGCTGTATTTCAAAATCTAATCACAAAATAACTTAAATTGAGCGAAAGGAGTTTTTTTTCCCAAATAGCTGATGACCGCCATTTGTAAGTCGTTTTTATTGCAATGCAATTATCTTTATTAAAAAATCTTCCGAACATAAAATATATTTTTTGAAACTTTATTTGACGAATATTAGCTGATTTAAAGTATAATAAGATTTGTAACACATTTTATTTACTTTAAGTTTAAAATATCACAGAGATGCATTTTTAAACCAAACAGTAGCATGTTTACATGTTTGACGAGGTGATGCTAGATCAACTATTGTTTTAAGAAGATTTTATTTGTAAAATATAATTGAAGAAAATGACGTGAGTACCTTTTTTTTATTTAATTTTTAAGTATTCAGAAATCTTAAAAATTAGAAAAATATCCACTGTAATCCAATCTTTCAATGAAATTTAGAAATTTTGCCTTTCAATTTACTATAGTCATCGCTCTTATTTTATGATAATGTCACGCATGGTTGCTCGTACTTAAAAAAAGTAGCACATTTATACACTAATAAAAAAACAAATAAAAATTATTTTAAAATCTTGGTGTTAGATAATTTGTATTAAGTTTTTCCATTTCTGATTAGTAAATATAGTTTTCCCTAATAATAATATCTAAAAGAAATTAATACAGAATTGTAAAAGATTTAAAACTTCATAAATTTTTCTAATTAAAATTTAAAAAAAAAATGTAAAAAAAATATTGTAAAAATTCATTATTCATTGAAACTTCTTAAGACAATAGTGACCTTAATATATATTATTTATAAAATCAATTAAAAGCTTTTCTAATTAAATAATGTCATAGATTTATTGCAAGTCATATTTTACGATTCACAGCAGATTTTTCGTAAATGGTGCTTTTGTTTGACAAAAGAAAGTGATTATGTAAATTCTCCAAGGATTCCTGCTTTTAACTAAAATAAATAAAAAGACCCTGAAATTTTAAATTTCATGAAATTAAGTGGAGATAACAGATGTAAATATATATATATATTTTTTTTACGAAGAGTTTCTCAAAAATATTTTTTAAAAAATTAATTCATTTGTGAATAAGTCCTGAAAATGTAATTAAAATTCGACAAGTATTAGACTTTTGAAAGTATTTCTAAAACGATGTGTTTTCCTTCAATAAAGACGCTAAGTTTCCTATACTAATCTTTGACTGAACCAATGATGCAAAAAAAAAACAAACAAAAAAAAACAAACAAAGATTTTTAATCAAAATTTCGCACTTGCTAAAAAGGATTAAGAAATCTGATGAAATAATAAAAAAATATTTGGCCTTTCCTCTTAATAATAACATAAACATTTTGACGATAAAACTTTGTTTTTATTAATTTTGGTGTCCTTTTTCTTCATGCCTTTTAGAACAATTTTGGAAGTAGCTAGAGTGTCAAATTGATTCCTGGTTACTTTTAAAGACATTAATTTGTCATAGTATTTGGGTTGAGGAGTTATGTCACCAAATTCAAAACTGTGGAAAAGGCAACGGGAAAGAACTTTCTCAGAAAGTTGTAGCAATTTACATATAATAGAGGGAAGCTGTTGAGATCCATGATCAGTTAAGCACTTAAGGGACATGGTATAAAAAGATATACGATAGCACAACGGTTACATTTGTTGACACATAAATAGATTTTTATCTTCTTGTAGCAAAAAAGTTACAGCTTTTGGAAGTACCAGTTGTATCCCGACTTTCTTTAAATCGACTCGGCTACCTCTGATGTTGTCATACTCATTTTATCGAGTGACTGTTGCCCAGAGATTTGCATAAGCCACAAACTCGTCTCGCAAAATCACTGATCTCCGAGATCAAATTGTTCTTAAATTGGAGAAGTAAA